CCAAACAATAACAACAAAAAAAAATCCTTCAGATCCCTCTGCACTCAAAAGGGAGAAATACCAGCTCTCAAGATCTTAGTGTGATCTACCACAGATGTCCCAGTCCATACTGTGATACTTTATAAACAAAGACTATTTAAATGCCATTGGGAAATGATAGCAGGCATCCCAGTCATCTGCAAATAAAGCTGTCTCAAATCTGAGAACCAACAGAGTGATTTGGTTGTAATAGGGCAGAGTGACTGATAAACCCTTGCATTTGCTGGAATACATTGTACACACCGCCTGCAGTTCTTAGCATTTCTTCACATGGATTATGCCTTCCTGAATTTTCTTCCCATTTACACACAGAAATAAAGTGTCAAATGTGTATCTGGGCAGTCTCTGTATTTGGATGTGTCCCTTCCCTTTTTATTCCTCTCTCCATCCCTGGGTTTCACTTCTCCCTCTCTGATGTAAGCCTTTTCTTTCTACCAGGAACTGCTCTTTCTCCTAAGAAACCTGAGGAGACACTTGCAACCACGTAAATGTCTTGACAAGGAAAGAACTTGAGTATGTTACTGGTTCTCCTAATCTGAGAAACAAAAAACACTACTTTTGCCCAGAAGGCCAGTGGTTACTATGCTTTCATTCCATACTTCTTTACATTCAGTACCAAAGCCCCAGACCTCTTGGCCATATTGCTGTACCACAGACTCTGTTAGGAGGAGAATCATTTAAAGACTGTAGGGAGCTTCCGTTTATAGAAAGGAGATTATTTTTTGCCACCTGGAAAAGCTAGAACTGGTAAGTTACATGGGAACGGCCACTTAAATCTACCTCGTCTAAAAAGTAGCTGATGAATTAAAAGCTGTTCTCTATTAGCTGGCAATGATAGGAAAGACTCATCTTCCTCAGTGAAAAGAAAACCCCTCAAAATATACAGGATGTTGAGAACAAAGGGTTGAATGAAGTTCCCATGCCCTCACTCCAGTAAGAGGCAGCAAGACAGGGGTAGCTGAGGGAGAGTGGACCATTAGGCCCTCTAGGTGGTCATTCTCAGGTACAATGTGCTGAGATGACTGCATTATGCTAAGAACTGTGTGCCTCATGTATGCACTCAAACTTACAAACAGGTTTAAGACAGGCAGACAAGAAGGGCTGTTGCAGCAAGTCTCAAAGGTGTTCAGGCTACACTTGAAAACACTGCAGAAATTTGGAGGATGGAAATATTGTTAAGACATTCTAGGCCACCCATTTGCTTGGCTGACTGGCCACTGTCACAAAATTAAGTGACTGCTTGCCTCCTCAGTCTGTAGGGATTTAGTGCACTCAGGCTACCCTGTTCTCCTTTGACAAAAGGTTTTATACAGACGGTGCCAGACATTAATTACAGTAATTTGTTGTCAGCCTTGCCTCCTAAGGAAATAAGGCTTATACACTTGCATTGTCCATTTGGGTGGACATCTGTCCCCCCCTAACAACTTCTGAGTTGATAGGTAATTTCAAACACAATCGAAAGCTAAAAAATTTTGCAGATGTTATGTTCTTATGAATTCCATTAATACTGCTGGCAGTGATGGAAAGTGGAAAAGAATCCATAGCTCGCTAAGGGAGAAAGGCAGAATTCAGCTATATCCTTCAGCACAGCAGAAGCTGGCTCTGCCAAAGAGCATGCCATCTTTTGCCTGGTAGACCTGAAGTAAAAGGGATGGGGTTAGCAGAGTTATTGAAGTGGTAGTGTAAAGGAAATGAGACCTAAGCCCTGAAGAAAGGCAGACTCAAAGTTTTGTTGCTCATGGGACAACCTCCCTTATAGTATTGTATGATAACAAAGCCCTCACATACTATCAAGCCATTAAATAAAACGGTTGATTAAACTTTGTTCAGCTGCTTCCTTTTCATTATAACCATGCTACCCAGGAAGGCTCTATTAAATACACAGATGCTTCACACACTTACACTAAAAATTCCTTACTAATTTTCTATGAAATTTACCACTGGTTTATTATAAACTATCAGGTTTGTAATAGTTCACTAGATATCACATAGTACCTAACAAGATCACCCCTTGTTCCTTAATAGAATTGCTAAGTGCATTTCTCTTGGATCATCTATATCCTTTGGTATTAATGTTTCTTTCATTAAATGAGCACTATATCCAATGTTATTATTCTTTGGCTTCATAAAAAGCATTATCATTTTATTTCAAGAATTATTCTGTGCTACTCAAGCTGTTTAATCAGTACCATTTCCTGAGGACTGATTTATATCGACCAGTGCTACAAAAATTCTCAGTGACACTTAAAAGGAAAGTCTGAGCATTATACATTTCTGTTTATCTTGCCACAGGTGCCACTAGAAATCCCTATATGCACAATATTATTTCCTGAATGTTTCTGCTTTACCATATTAATTTGGAGTCTTGATGAAGTTATGAATATGATACTGTGTAAGAGAGAGCAAAGGCAAACAACATTTTTACCAACAGTAAAAAGGACAGCATAAACCACACAACTGAGTTACTATTTAAAGAACAAGAATTTAATTTGGTATGCAGTGTTTTCCTAGGAGGATCTTTATTTCCAGTGTTATACATGTGAAAATAAGAATGAATGTGACTCATTATCTACATGTATAAAAATATAAACATTCTATCAAACATCTGCAAAGTCACTGTTCATGATATGCATCACTAGACCTATGCCTTAGCTTCTAATCAAAAGAGACACTGCCTTTTTTAATAGCACTTGCAAAACCACTGCATTAAATAAGAACATGAAATGAGAACAACAGCTACAAAATGTACACAGGACTCCAGTATTGTGCCTTCAGTTTCCTGTCCTCCTGCATGTCAACAGGTTAGCAGAGTCGTCATGGTTATCCTTTACTTGAGCTCTCAGTAGAAGAGACCAGCAAAACTCAGTGACTTTGCCTTGAGCGTTTTACCTTTAAGAAATTTTACTGAAATTACTGAGCAATGTTTAAGAAAAATATTGTCTTCTGTGGCAAACAATCAAATTACTATTACATTTATGGCAGCATCCTTTTAAGCCTAGATGTAGTGAGTTATCAGTAAATGTAGGGCCCCATTTCCTAATACTAGTAATGCTCAAGAGTTTTTAGCACAAACACAAAGGTTAAAAAATTGTCAGTGTATGGTTTTATTACACCCATTTTCACGTAAAATGTGAGAATTTCTGGGTCATCAGCCAGCAAACAGATAGGCAATCAGTCATCAAAATACAGGAGATCACTGTTTTAGAGATGCATTCAGGTACCTGTAAGTTTAGCTATGATTCACATTCAAGCAAATATGTAATTGATTTCAGTTCTACAAGCTGATATTCAATTTTTCCATAGAAACAGGTATAGGGAACAAGTAAAACATTACGATATTATGTACATAGTGTAATATGCAAATGCTCAGCTAGATATATTATGAAATTCTGTAGCACTAAAATGATTAAAAAACTAAATGATTCGTGTAAAATGTTTATATACTGTGTATATATATATATATATATATATACACACACTAAATCCGAAGTTCAATTTAAAACTGCCCCTATTCATAGGTCCTATGATGGATATAGCAAGCTACCAGATTCTTTAAAAAAAAAAGAAAAAAAGCTATCTAGACCAAATTTGAACACTTCACTGAAAACTGATTTTATATAAAATCTTAAAAAACATACTTCAAAATTACTTAACAGAAACTAGAAAAGGATGGTCATTATTCTCAAGAACGGCATTGTAAAGACCTAGTAGCTGTGATCAATGTCCTTTCACTTGTGGTATAAATGTTAAGCACAAAGAAATCTTTTCAGAGTAAGGCATGGGACAAACAGGTTTCATTCTGTCTTCAGGTATATTGGCCTCTCACTCTTATTGCTCATGTAAGTTGGCAGGTATACGTCTCTCCTTTTAAAAATACTGCAACTATCTACAATACCCATTGCTTCCATATGTGTGTCTTCAATTTAATCAAATTGACAACCAATCTTGACAGTATAAAAAAAAAAAAAAAAAAGCAAACAAAAACCAAACTGGTGATGCGGATTATTTCCAGTTTTATGCATTGTGCATAATGAAAGACCAAGTGGTGAACACAGAGGCTGAGCACTGAAACTCAATACATATGTAGGAATAGCTCTTTTCAAAGGAATTAAGGTTTTAAAAATAAAACCCTACTGTGAAATTCTTTGGTTAGAATACAAGTGCTGGAAGTATTTCTAAATTTGGACTTAGAACAATTTCTTATTTAAGAGTTTTAAAAATATAACTTCAAGCCTTTACTATGTACTGTTAAATCCCTCAACGCTCCAGATACATTTAGGATATTTTTCTGTGAAGGTCTGAAGGAACAGTATAGGATTTTTGATCAAGTTCAGGTTTCAAAGGAAAATTCTTTTGTACCCTAATCTTCATTAATTTATTGAGACTGAGCAGCTTGCTCAATCTTCCCTACCGTAAACCCTACTGCTCAGATCATCTGTTCCAAAGCAAGCTATTGCTGCCTCCTCTGGGAAAGAAAAATGGTTAGATAATGCAAACAAAATACAGCTTGGAAAGGGTAATTTCCTCTGAAGAAACTTGGCGTCACTCTCAGTTTTGTAAGGATGGGGCTTAATTCTTTCTAAGAAGCACTAATTTTGGCCAGGAAGAGGTCTCTTAACTCTCAGCAGTGTCACTGCCCTGGTAGTACTGCCATGAAATCGAAGAAACTGGTTCTAAAAAAGTGGTTTCTGCATCAGTTCTGTTGGCTTCCAAGTTTTACAGCACTAACATGACCAAAACTAACAAGCAGGGTGCTCGTGATTACACTTGGAATGTACATCTGCATTAATTAATTCAATGTACATGATTTTAGCTTCCCAGGAAGCAGGTCCTACCTTCACTCTGGCAAGCCTGGCTTCATCTCACCCCCCTCATTCTGAGGGTACTTAAGGAAATATACATTGGGATTTCTAAGCATGTTATGGCCAGTAACTTCAAGAGAATTTTAAGGACTTCACCCATGAAAATTACGATTCACAAGCACTCTAATTTTTCAAAGCATCGTTGTTTTACCTCTCAAGGAAATATACATGTGTCTCTGAGGACACATTATAGTTCAAATGGTTGATTATCCAGAGAACTTGGCCTTTCATATCAGCCTTATGAACCTGCTTATGCAAGCCCCAGTCCAATTTAAGAACATGGAGAGGGGAGTTCGAAAAGATAGGGAGCAGGCAGGGGAGGTGGATGCAACCAGTCCTGAAGGGCCACATGCATGTGCCTCCTGCAGAATTGCTCATCTCTATAGATGAAGTCTGAGCAGGAGTGCCAACCCCTCACTGGCAGGTATCACTTGAATGTGACAGTCCTTCAGAGACAGGCATCATTTTGATGGGGTGAGAGGATAAAATGGACCACTGTGGGTCCACCCACAAAGGTGAAATCCCACTTAAGGACATGGGGATGAGAAAAAAACAGCCATTTGTCATGCTACCTTCAACAGAAATTGCTGAAAAGCAACTGGAAGGTTCCTCAGCCCCTAAATGGGTGGGTTTTAAAACACTCCACCCTGACAGAGGTATCCCTCAGCTTCTGTGTGCAGACAGGGGCAGGGGCTGGACACACGCACACTTTCCTGGGACAAGTATTTGTGTACTCCCAATACCTCTCCTTCCTCACTACCAACACAGCTACTGGGAGGCATTGGAGGGAAGATGACAGGATGAGCTGGCATACAGAGGTTGAGCAGGGACACGGTAGACAAAAAGGGACATGGTGGCCAAACGAAACATGATGACCTCCTGTCCCTGCGGCCATCAGGAGCTGCGTGTAGGAGTGATGGGGGCTGTGCTGGAGGCTGACCTGCACTTGTGCATGGACGCATGCACCGGGGTGAAGAAAGTGCAGGGGGACACTACCCCCCTCCACGTCCTCCTTCCTCCATGACGGGAGGGGACCATGAGTGTGAGGGTATGCAGGGGCCACCGCCTCATCCCCCCGCCACGGGCTGGGCAAATGCTCAGTCCCGGCAGAAGACATACTCAGTGTAGCTGGTCCAGATCTTATCCTCGGCAGGGCCGCCCTGCTCAGGGCCAAAGGCGCAGGTGCCGGTGGAGGAGCAAGCGGCCATGCGGAAACCGGCCTCGGAGAGACGGTCGAAGGCTTGCTCGAGGAAGTTGAACTTGAGGTAGTAGCGGGCAGTGTAGCGCTCAGGAGGGCGGTCGGGGTCGCGACTCTCATTCAGCGTCTCTCCGAAGACCTCCTTGGCCAGCGCCGTCTTGCCGCAGACTGTGATGCGGGCTACCCGTCGGAACTTTGCGTCTGCCTGCGCCTCCCGCCCTATGGTGTAGGACCCCCGGTAGCCGATGGTGATGTAGCCCGAGCGCCGTCCACCCGCCCCGTCCAGCGACTGCGAGGGCGTGAGCAGCGGTCCGCCCGAGGGGCTGCGGCTGGCGGTGGGAGACGGGGCGGACGCCGAGGCACCGCCACCGCCGCCTCCTTCCAGCGGCTCGGCCTCCAGACAGCCGAGAAGCGGCTGCGGCGGCTGCTCTTCAGCGCAGAGCGAGCCGTCGCGGTGCAGTGCGGCGGGGCGAGCGGCGGCGGCCCGAGCCTGCGCCAGGCGACGGGCCAGGTCCGGCAGCTGGAAGTACTCGGCCTCCCGCTGGAGGCGGCTGCGCTCGGGGAAGTGCTCGGGCAGCACTAGCTGCAGGTCCCGCAAGTAGTCCAGGATGTACCGAAAGAGGAAGCCGTCGCGGTCAAGGAAGAAGCGGCCCTTGCTGTCCCGGGGCAGCTCGCTGGGCTGCTGCTGCGAGAACATGCGCCAGAGCAGCGAGTCTCGCACCGAGACCACGGTGCAGCGCCGCGTCACGTACACCTGCCCTCCCACGTTCAGCTCCACGATCTCGGGGAAGGACGACCAGCCGCCCGCCGCCGCAGGCCCGCTACCAGCCGTCCCGCTCCCTGCCGCCGGCGACACGCCGCCGCCGTTGGGCAGCCCGCGTGCGCTGTCCGCCAGGGCCATACCGGAGCGAGTCCGCCGCCGGCGTAGAGCCGCCGCCCTTTCTCCTCCTCCTCCTCTGGCCGCCTGGGCTCCGGCGGGGCCGCCGCCGTCCGCGAGGGACCTCGCAACCCTCCGCCGCTGCCCGCCGGAGCCTCCCGCCCCGTCTGTCCCCGGAGCCGCGCGGCCGCCGCCAACCCTCTCCCCGCAGCCGCTCTTCTGCCCGATACCGGCCAAGCGCCTCCCTCGGGCTGCGTGCAGAAAGCCCCGGCGGCGGCGGCGGGGCCGAGCTTATGTAGCGCGGCCGCACCTCGCGGGAGGCGGCGGGGGGGGGGGAGCTGGAGGAAGGCAGAGCCGAGTGCACGGGGAGGGGAAGGGGACGGCCCCGCACTGACGCAGGGTCCCCCTTCGTCGTGTGTGACCCCCCCTCCCTCCCAGTCCTCCTTCCCCAGCTGCGGCGGCGATCATCTTCCCACCCGGTGGACGGGCACCGCTGTATGCAGCCGGCGGCGTAAAACCTTGCCCCTTCACCCCCCTCCCGCACCCCTGGGGCTTTCGGCTCGCTGCCTGGCGGCTTCCCAGGGGCGTCTCGTCTTTTCGCAGGCAAGAACCTCCCTCCGCTCGCCCCGAGGTGCGGGAGCGGGAAAGCCGCGAGACACTATTGTCCCGCCCGAGGAGCCGCGCTGAGCCCCCCGCTAGTCTTTCTAAGGCTTGTCCAAACCCTCGCCGAGCGAGACCCCGACGAGGTAGCCGTGTCCCCTCACTCCCGTCCCCTTGACAGGGGATAAACGCTAGCGTGCGGTGCTACCGCACTCGCCTCACCCTGATCCGCCGCCTGTTTCTGGGCTTGCAGAACACTCTCACTACGCAGGTTTTAAGGACCCCATCAAAACTTCTCGCTGACCCGGGACACCCCTTGGTGGCACCGGGAGCTAGCTGCATGCTGGAGTGCCCGCCGTCGGGGCTTGGGGGGAGAGGGGGGCCCCGGAGCGGATGGGGTCCCCTCGGGCTGCCTTGTCAAGCGGCTCTTTGCCGTGAGAGCTCCTCGTGTCTGCGTGAATACGCGTGTAATTGGGTGCTCTTGCAGCTCGGATTTCATTTGGATTAATTAGATAGGGGATCTGCGTGAAATATTAGCACCTATTTAACATGCATTGGCAGAGAGCATTGAAATTACGCTTCAGGCTTGAATTTTATCTACATTTCTGTGTCTCTTTGCAAGTAACAGTGAAGAGCTGCTGCCTCGCAGTACTCAGTTGCTCTCTTCTGGGAGTTCAAGTGTTAGTCTCCTCGAAAGAGCAGCTGAAAGGACAGGAAGGTCTGAGGATTATGAAGGCAACGTCAATGCCTTCCTCTCTGGACTGCCGGCTGCAAACGTCCTAATGCAGTGATCCACGAAGTAGAAATCAAAAGATGCAGAGGCAGGGGGGAAGAAGTCCTTCGAAAATTGAGAAATGGGAGAGTAAGGAAGGGCAAGTTCTCAAGAAGCAAGCTAAGTTTGCCCAAGAGAAGAAGAGGCAAAAGAGGAAGGAAAGGAAAAAGAGGGGGAGTTAAGAAACAGAAGTTTTAAAAAGCAAATGGATGAGAGAAAAAACATGTGTCGAGAGAGAGCTGAGAGGGAGATACTGTGGTCTAAGGAAGGAGATGGGGTGGGGCTTGGGGCATGGGACACTTGGAAATTACAGGAATTTAATCTGATCAGGACTCAAGAGTAGGATAGCGAAGATGCAGAACATTACTTTTTCCATGTGGGAAAGCCAGCTGCCAGGGCTTTGACCACCAAGTGTTTTCAGCTGTGGGAGCAAAATGGAAAATCAGGTTAATCTGATGTTTTGCTGACATTTTGTAACAAGCAGCTTGTTTGTCTCCTTTTTCTATTTATTTTTATTTTTAGGGGAGTAGGAGAGAGGTGAAAACAGCTCTGAAAGATCAGGGAAAATTAAAGTAAACCTCAATGAAGTTGATTTGTTACCCTTTGAAATACCCAAGTCTGTTGCTGTAGAAAAGAAAAAAAAAGGAAAATAATGTGATTTAGCTGCTAGCACAGAGGGAGTCTTTGTTTTCTTCCCTTATACTATTTTAGGTTCAATTCACCAGCCTAAAAGCACACGAAATTTTCACATGGCAGTTTGCTGGTAACAGTTTCATGGAGTTACTTTTACCTCTCAGTCTCTTAATGTGGCATCTCCCCCCACATCACCCTGCTTCTGGCCGTTCTTAGCAAGCAGCCACCTCAAGAGCCTCCCACAGATCCGTATTTTAAACTCTGCTTCCCTAGTGTGGGCTCTCTGTTGAGAGCACAGTGATTAAACTCTGCACCCAGAAGATGAAATCATATAATGTTTGTGCAGGCGCTTATTCACAGCAGAATTTGCACTGGAGTATTTTGTACCTACCAGCAGGTGAGACTTAGAAATGCTCCCATATATATAATATAGATATATATAGATATATATATACACACACATACACATATATATATATGAAGGGATAATTAATTAATCTATTAAACAATTTCTTTAGCATTGAGTATTAAAGTAGGCTAATAAAAACAGCACTAACATATTTATTATGCTTGAACTTTTTATTTGCCCTGAGATTTGTTAGATTTAAGACCAGACTTGATAAAATCTGAGCTTAATGGATCTTCCAGCTCGTGTTTTCAGAAGCTTCACAGGCAAGTAAGTTCATAGAAGCATAGAATCATAGAATAGTTTGGGTTGGAAGGGACCTCAAAGACTGCCTAGCTTCAAGCCCTCTGCTGTGGGCAGGGACACCATCCACTAGACCAGATTGCGGAAAGCCCTGTCCAACCTGGCCTTGAACGCTGCCAGAGATGGGGCAGCTTCTCTGGGCAACCTGTGCCAGTGTCTCACCACTCTCAGAGTAAAGGACTTTTTCCTAATGTCTAATCTAAATCTCCCTTCTTTCATTTTAAAGCCATTCCCCCATGTTCTATCACTTTATAGTCCCTCTCCAGATTTCTTTAGGCACTGGAAGCTGCTCTAAGGTCTTCCTGGAGCCTTCTCCAGGCTGAACAAGCCCAGCTCAGCCTGTCAAGTTATGCTGCTTCTTCAGACACTGGCTCTCCAGAGCTGCACCTCCACCTGCCTGTCAACTAGAGGAGGCCAGATAAGAAGGACCCACCACATTCTCGTGCAGCAGCATGTCCAAAGTCATGCACATTAAGGGCGGTGAGTGAGGGGACGACACAGGACACAGACACACAGCTTTAACAAGCACCTTATTTGGGCCCCTATCCCAGATCTTTCTGTAGTGGTACGAACCGACCCACCCCATTGCAGTGTTCTGTGTGCCAATGTACAAACTGACGTGACCCCCCCGGCCACCGGAACAAGGAGCCTTCTCATAGGAAGATACTGCTCATACAGCCTGTTCAACAGTCCTGGGCAAAGGCCCAGCTTGCACTGTTTGTCTCTGAGATAGCTGTCATTTTCTGGGCTTAAAAACATGCCCAGCACTGAAATAGCTGGTGTGAGCCAACCTCTCTTCAGAAGAATTATCTTCTTTGGGCATCTGACTGCTGCTTTATGCATGTGAGGATACTTCACTTGGCTGCAAGGCTTTGATTATTGTAACTTCTTTCTTTAACAGATTTTTTTCTTCTTTTCACAAAATATTCAACTAACTTCTTCTCTGTTTCCTATCTCTGTTCATTTGGCTGCATTGGTCTCCAGTGAGCACAACTGGACTTCATCTGGGGGTATTATAATGGATATCAACTATTTTTACTTACGTGTCAGTTACCAGATTGTGTAATACAGTCATAATCTCAGTAGTTTATTTTTGTTTTGTCTGGGAGACAATGAAATACTAGTACATGTCACATTCAAGGTTGCCACAAAATGCCTCGTAAGGCATACACTCCTCTCTAAAGGGCACCATCATGACATTTCTGAGCAATAGCTCCTTCAGATAAGACAGTTGCAGTTTGGTGTTTGCTATTAGCTGCCGACCAGAAGTAGCTACGTGTTGATGCATGCTATCTTAATCTGATGGGATCCAACAGTTTTTAGTATTTTGAGAAGTTTACACTGGGTTTTGGGTGTTTGGTTTGGTTGTTTGGTGGGGTGGCTTTTTTGGGGGGGTGGGGGGTTTTGGGTGGTGTTGTGTCAGTATTTATAAACATGTTTCCATCACGATGGGAAGAAGAATGAGCTCCTATTTTGCATTTTGGGCAGCGCACCAACTGGTGCTCCAGGTTTATTCAGGATGGTTTCCTTCACAAACCATAGAGGAAGGGTAACACCTAGTGGGAGTAAACCTACATTGCAATTAAGAAATGCAAAGAGCTCCGAAGATTCTTAATAGAGAGAAAACTATAATTTTTCGGTCATAAAAAGTAGATGTAAACTATTTTATCCCTGTTCTGAACTAAAAATGGTGGTAAGCATTTATTAGTTCTTTTTTCAGTCTGTATTGTATGAAATGGCTTAATATTGCTTAGAAAAATGCCTAATTAGATATGACTGAACTGTTTGAATTTTTAATACTAAATTCAGTGAAATATTTAGCCTCCTGCATAAAACCAAAAACAGGAGTTAGTGATCTAAACTGAACCAGTGGCTGAAATACGCTCTTTTTGGGCTTCACAATCTTGCTTAGAGGGTATAGGAAAAAGAGTACAGTTAGTCCCACAGCAGGGTTTATTGCTGAAGAGTTGGGAACTCTTCACATTTTTGGAGCTTATATGCTCTCTAAAATGTGTGTTCTGTAGGTTTGACTTTGTCAGTCAGTAGCTGGCTATTAGATGAAACCTTTCCCATTTCTGAATGATTGCTCAGGGTGAAATTATCCAGCTCAGCATTATACTGAAGTGATACCAAGTAATGCTGCCAAAAACTTGAATTGTTATTATTCCACCCAAAGCCTAAAGAACTCAACTGCTTCTAAAGAGAGTTATCTTTCCCTGCAAACTCAGTCTCACATGCTGTATATAGCTGGACAACACAAATTCAGAAGTTATAGATTTCCATATTTCATGAGAATTGTAATGAATGTTGTTTTTGAAGTTATATTTGATAATATCTGTTCATAACCTGTATGTTTGTATATGCAGTTGAATATGTCTAGCTGGAACTGCATGTTCTAAGAAGTCCAGCTGCTATGAAAATACGTATGTTCAAGCATGAAAGATACTGAAAAATCATAGAATAATTCAGGTTAAAAGCAGGTCATTGAAGTGCTCAAGCACTTTCCTCCTGCCAGTGTCATACAGACATTGCTCTGAATAATTTTGTGACGGTAATGCTTTGCAGTGCCTGGAGAGGGAAGGAGGAAGGCAGAGAAGTAAGGAGGGAGGG